CTTCCAAGAAATACATATTTCCCCTTATAACTAGTATTTTTGCCAAACAAAATCATTGGGAAATGGCTCAAATCAAAGGTAGCCCACATCGCAGATTTCTTAGTAAGTACATGTCTGTAAGAAACTTATCGAGTTTTGATGATTTGTGGCAAGTTTTATTAATATTTTCTTGAAGATTTTATGACGGAAAATGTAACTCTTAAGAACTCTTCTTGCTGTTTTCATTTGCGTTGAAGTTAGTAAATCAAATATACTGTGGAAATATGTTTTGCCTTTAAAAACCCTTTGCATATGTAACTGATTATTTAATATTTAAAATTACATATATTTTATTTCAGAAATTCCAAAGTTCCTGAAACAAGCTTAACGTTTAGAGATCTTTTAAAAGAAAGTTATTGTGAGGAAAGTATTAAAAGCATTTGGAGCCTTAAAACATCAAAATTTGAATATTAAAATGAGAATAATGTATAAATGTGATAAAGAATTTTACTAAATCCTGTATTCAAAACTAAATTTATTAAGAATAATAGGGAAATGACTAAACTGTTAATAGGATCAAGGAATAAATCATAATTAAATTCAAGAATACTAAACTTGACATGAAACTTCTTTAAATCTACTAAACAAGATTAAAAAAAACTTTAAGTTCTGATCGTGTACAATATTCTGTTAAAAGACATTTTATGTTTGCGTTGTGTTTTTCACTGTAGCTCCCAGTTTCTAGTATTTTATGAAAAGGACAACTTTGCATAAAATACAACCCTGACCCAGCACGTGGCGATGGTGTTTTTGCATATGTAGTTTCTCTTGTACAGTTTCAGCTGCTTCTGAGTTATAAATACATGCAACTGACTTATTACCTGAAAATGGGCAGAAAAGTGATTCCAATCACAGCACCAATACTAAAAGAGTATAAAACAGAAAACGGTCATGGTTACAGTGAAGCTGTTTCATATTTATACATCTACTGTTACTGCTAGAACATTCAATATTTTAAAGAGCTTTTCATTGTTCATTTATGACAGGGGCTGTGATAATATAGAAACACAAAATGAGGAGAATGAGGTATCAAAATGAATATTTTCCCACTGAATTGTTACTGTCAACATTAGTCTTTAGGAAGATAAAGATTCAGAATGAATTAATTTCATGATAGATTTTGAGAGGCTAGAGAAGTTTCTTTCTGGCACAATCAAAATATTATCATAGCAATTCAGATTGTCAGTAAAAGCTTAAACAAATTTGCTGATAATCCTGTTAATGACCTAGGTCAAGTGTTAACTGTTGTGGGTTATAAAATAGTGAAATTAAGGTTTCTTCTACCTCCAGGCAAATAGCACAGCTATAACTATGGGGAGATGTAGGGGTGAGCTATTAGAAGAGCTATTAAATTACAAAATTGTATTTAATGCATTCAATTATTTAGTCCAGCATGAAGAAATACTATTAAAAGCAAATGTAAACCCTCTTTTAAAAAGTGCACTCTGTCAAGATGATAGGATAACTTACTTCTCTATTAATATTTCAGTCATAATGCATTCTTATTTGAGGACAAGTGTTTGTATACTAAACGTGATGCCAATACACAGTAATTTTATAAAAGGTAAACTCGGTTATTTATTGTCTCCAACATTTGCCTAATACTCAAAGGAAAGCATAAAGCATTCATCTGAAAGTTTCACTTTTAAGCTTTGAGCAATCACATAGTTCCTTTCAGTACAGAAGATTTATGTTCAGAGAAACATATTTTACAGCCACTCTTATAAAAGAAAAAAAAAAAAGGTGTTCCAAAATAAGTAGTACGTAACTGTGTTGATTTAGTTTCATTCAGTTTTATCTTTAAAACTCGGATCTTCAATACATAGTTCTGTGGGTGAGTGTTGTCCAATTTCTGAACACTTTGGGGTAAACAAATGGTTTACTGTATTATGTACTGATGAGTGAGCATTGCCTTCTGCCTCAAACTGCTTCAGATGTACTAAAGTGTTTAAGGAGAGACTTCCTTAGTTATAATATAAGTAGACCTAATATAGGAATAGCTTTATTTTCTGTCACATTTCAACCTGTCTCAAGTTATCTATTTAACATTATCATAATCCATTTGGGTGGGAACTGGAAGTATATATACACACTTTTCTAATAATATAGAATGAAACAATCCTATTTTGCCATGAAAAATAGGTGATTTCCCATGGGAAGTCTTTTCTTATTTTATGTAAGCAAGCCTGATTTTAATAAAGCTTTTATAAAGTTCAGTCAAAGTATATAAGGCAATTTTTATTTACATGATCATTGAAATTAGGAATATCTCTTATCATTGAGGAGACCAGGGATAGAAAGTATCTTCTGGAATCATTTTCTTGAAAGCATATTAAAGTTACTTTTAACTAGAATAACAAAAGGAAAAATTCAAATTAAACTGTTTTTTAAGTTATTTTTCTTTTCATGGACCCATGGCATTTCAATATTGGTAATTCATTATCAAATCTCAATTTAAAAAAAAAAATACAACAGCAAGTCACTTAGAAATTAACTCAAAAGTTTGATTTTGTTCTCTTTTAGTTCTATCAGGCCTAACTTTATAATAGATAGCAGAATAGAGTGTAGTATATGATGGATTTCTCATAAATTTTTTATAGTATTGAAATATAATTTTGAACATAATATTTTAAATGCAATCTAGTATTTATATTAACATTTAGATTTTTAAGAAAGTTACATTAATATGATTGATTTTATCATTACCCCTCCCATATATGAATGTTTAGAAGCATTGCTTTCTATTCAAATTGCATATTGGAAGAATTACATGGAAATCTTGGCACATCCTTAAAATTTTCACTTTTTATGTTAGTTAACTCAACTACTAAGGGCCAATCTGTTGGACTAATATTTAGAATGTCACTCAAATATTGCCTAAGTTAAATCACCTAATTTAAATTTTGTTTCAAAGCTTCATTTTATAATCTCAGAGGGGATAGGAGGCACTCACCATAGGACATCTGGAAAGAATAATTCCATGGACAATGGACAGATAAACTTTTATCCAACCAAATTAAATAAAGTGTGTTAGTTTTCTTAATATGTTTGTCTTCCTATACACACATTGTCAGTGTGTGCCTGCTTGTGTGCGTATATACAGTATATAGTCAAACATACACAAGGTGGAGCTTAACATACATTTGCATTTGAGTATTTGTTTCATTATAGCAATGTTCATTTTACATAGGTGTGAATAAGTTTAAAGGGTCATTCATTTTTTTCTTGCTGTTGACTTAAAGGTCATATTTTCTGCAAAAATACTGGCTCTCAGCTCTATTCCTGTGCATTATTAGTTCAATAACATCCATTATGTAAGTCGTTTATAAACATTCCATTTGGGAGAAGACAATTTATCATAGCAATGTAGGAATTGTAATTCTACTTTTCTGGTTTTTTGTCAGTATCTTAATATGTTCAAAAAAGCAAAATTTTGCAAAGTCACTAATTTTAAGGTATTGATGTTAGTCATTATACCGATGACTATTGTTGCCTTTCATTCATAAAGATGACTGGCCACTACTTTCAAATAAACATTTTAATTTGTTTGGTGGAAAAGCGAAGTCATTTGTAGGTAAGACAATTTTCTTCATCTCTGTATTTTCGAAGTTTAAATTTCCCAATTAAAAAAAACCACACACACAAGAATGTAATGAAATCTGCCATATAGATAAAGGCAGTCACTAAGGAAAGAAAGAAATTAAACGTTCTATTAGCAGTGAAAGTAGGTCACCAAATATGAGGCAGTCTTAAATTTAATTTAAAAAGTTTATAAATATTTTGTTTTCACTCGTACTTTTAAAATGTACACAGTATACAATAGTATTGGCTTTACAATATGTTGGGGTTTTTTTGTTGAGTGGCATATAAAATATGGTATTTGTACACTGATTGCTCAGAATTGCTAACATGCAGCATACATTAAATGTCATTGTTACAAGTGCAGGGTCATTAAGAGGAAATCCAAGTTGTAAGTGTTGCTTTAAAGAAATCAGTTATTCAGGTAAGTTTGTCTTGTGAGTGATTGTGTTGACAAATGACTAGGTATAGATTAGAAAAGGCATACTGAGGAAAGACAATGTATATATTAAGTCCACAATCTTACAGGAAACATTGATGTCCTTAATCTAAGATTTGCATTTTAATCCACAGAAAAGGTACAAATGCTCATTACAAGGAAAATAAACAACCCAACATCATGCAAATGCCATTTGCTACATAGGAACATTTTCCCCTCAATTTTCTATTCAACTGTGTATTATATCTACTCAGGAACTATTTGCTATTCACTAAAATCATCCTATTCTTAAATAAGCCCTTAAACAAAGAGAATCCAACCTAAGCTTATTATAATTCTTGAAAATATTACTTATGTTAATGTGGCATATGCTGCTCATTAAAACCTGTACCATAGCACAAACCCTAGAATGAGGGGCACGTAGCACTTCCATACAGCAGTTGCAACATGCACACGCACACCCTTCACTTTCACAAACTCTGATTTCCGGTGAGTCTATTCATAAATGCTAAGATCCCAAGTAGGAACAACCTGTCATTACCTGTGAACAGACCAAAGAATCTAGAAAGGAGAGTTGCATTTTCTTTCAAACTTCTCAGAGTACCACATGGTCATAATTAGAAAATAAAATACTGCCTTGACTATTTGGCAATTAACATCCCGGGTTGTAAAACTGGAGGATTTTCTTTCTTTCTGCTTCAAATTGGCAAACAAGGTAATTGCTTGAATTGGTATCAGATTAAAAACACATTTTTAAGGTTCAGACCATCCAAAATTATGCCCCAGTGTGTTTTAGAAGTCAGCTGAAAATACAAGCTCGTCTTTCTTTTACCCTGAGCGCCTACTGCTTTATACTGAGGCATCCGAACGGCTGAAGAGGCTTCGGCGTTGAAGAGCGTGAGCCCGCGGGGCAGGGCGGTGCGCGTCGCGGTACCTGGCTTACCTTCATTGGAAGGCTGGGGGATCAGTTCCCCGCAGCAGTGGAGAACAGAGCCGCTGAGAAGGAGGAGGATGGAGAGGTGACAATCCATGTTGCTGGTGCAGAGGGCAGTGAGAGGAGCATATCTCCATGAAGCATGCCACTGATGTGAGAGGGAGCGCTCTGATTGCTGGAGAAGTTACCATGCTCCGCTCGCAGGCTGATGTCAAGTTTGACACTGGAGATAAGGAGGAGTCTGGCTGCCTTCCGCGAGCCTCGCTCAGGGCCTTCCCTGGGTCCTAGTGCCGTCGGAAGCGGGCGCTGGAGGAGAGAGCGCGCGGCTCTGGCTCCGCAGCCGAGCTGGTGAGGGAGGGGCGAGGGTAGGAGAGGCGTCGTCCGTGGGGCAGAAAAACCGAAG